GTCACAAGACCATGAACGGGAACCGCCATTCCACAGAACTCGGTGAGCAGCCTGTCTTCGGTAGCCGCCGCTGACGGAGGGGGGGTTAGATCCATGCAGATGAGCACTCAATTCGGCCGCCACTGGCCGCGAAGGGCAGTTGAAGTGAATTGGGCTCTGGCAGGTCAAGCAGGGTCAAGCATAGTCGATTGGTGCGTCGATGATGGGTCAATTGCTGGAATGTGGAGCATGTGGGATAGTCATCTCTGCATTATCGACGGCGGTCAGACTGCACAATAGCGTAGTACGAGGAACGATGACGGAAGCGGTGACTCGGACAATGTCCACCGGAAGCGATCTGTAGAGGGGAAAGGCATTGGGCGCTGCGGTGACACGCTGGCTGGGAGGACTGGGAATTGACTGGAATCGGGTGCCAATGACATACTACGAGGCCTCAGTCGCTGCATCCAGGGCGCAATGAGGGCAGGCAACGTGTATGTAGCCCTGGAGCGCAGTGATGATGTGACGATGGGGACGGTTCATTCGGCCCCGATGGACTAGCCCGGTTTGCTGGGACGGAGCGACAGGTAATCGCCTGTGCAGTGACTCAATCTCTCAGACAGTCAGAGAGCATTGCGCGCTCCCAGCTCCGCCTCACGCGTCGCTGCGCAATTGGCCGCTCTCATTGGAGCCCCCTTCGTCTTCCTTCTATTCACTTCTTGGCCGCCCGCATTCGTCAGCTGCCGGCCGCGCGCAACGGGCGCTCCTCTTATGGATGATGCCTGGCCTGGGAGGATGAGAGCCTGCTGGCACGCGCCAACCGCACACCCTCTTTGTCTGGTTCGCTAGCACATGGGCCGCAGTGTCTCAAAGGACAGTCACACTGGCCTTGTCCATCCTGTAGCCTACTGAAACCCCCGACGCGCCTGGGTGGTGCTTCTTATAACCAGCCCGCTCACCCCGTCTGTTTCGGGACGACTAACCTACCACGCAATTCAATCGTCCTAACTCCGCACTGCTTTTTCAATTGTCACGACTGCCTGACTAATTGCCCGCTCGCATAACTGGTATAAGCAGTCGGTCGGACCATTCTGCCGGCTTCCACGGTCACGTTTGCGCCCGGGCACACCTGACAGCATAACTGTGGCGAAGCCGTTCGCTCAACCAAGGCTCCTACCCTCCACTCATACTCTACCATTGATCGCATTACCAACGCACCACGCTCCAGTGGCTGCCTGGACACATTCATATATCGCTACCGCCCCGACGTTGCGCTTTAACCAAAGGACAAACTTTCGCACCGCACCACACCGCAATGGCAAACTTGCACTATAAGACGCCCCCGAGCAATCGGCTCACCGTTTCCTCCCTCCTCTCGCCCCCTGAAATGAAGCGATCAGAGTCGTTTGGCACGTCAATTCCGCCTGCCTACTCTCAATCACCCTTCTCCTCCTTCAATTCAGCACCCTCGCAGTCTGCTGTGAAGACCGACTTCATGGCTATCCAGGCAGCAGCCGCCCACCGCATCGCCTACGCCTCCCCGCCAATTTCCCCATACGACACACAGGCACAGAAGGAGAACATGGAGAGCGCCGAGGAGCAGTGCACACGCGATCCCCAGCTGTTCGTCTCGGCTGATGCAGCGGCGCCAATTGCTCACATGCCGCTGTTCCCCGACGAGTCACCCGAGTCAGCCTCGCAAGATGTCATCACCGCGCACATGAAGACCCAAGACTATGCACAACTACAGAGCAAGCCGAGCCGCGCTGACTACGAATTGGTTGCCAAAGTCCGCTCCATTGTCTTCAGAGAGGCCTGCAACAACCCCAAGGCATGGTGGGCTCAAGAACGCGCCTTCGACAAGCAAATCGACGAGGTCCGTTCCGGCCGTGTGCAAAAGCGGCCAGCCTTGAAGAAGCTCGCCCCTGCGCCATCTTCAAAACTCCGCCAGCCCAAGGTCGCTGTTGCACGGCTGCCTGCTCGCGCCCCTCGTGCCGCACCCAAGGCTAAGCGCACGCCTCTTACTCAGATCCACGACTCATTCGACACCTCCCCCACCACCAAGTCAGCCTCCCCCAAGCCGGCACGGCCAGTCACCAACCGCGACGACTCTGACTACACTGCCATTCCCGACTACGCCCCACCCCTGGACACACTGCCCAAGGGCAATACCAAGGCGCTCAAGGCTGAGTGGAAAGGGCAAGCGCTCTCGCTCGCCGACGATCCCGATCGCGAGTTGCTGCACGAGGCTGAGTTGAACCTCGCTGGCACACTTCGCCTCAACTGCGCCACCTACCTCACCAGCAAGCGACGCATCTTCCAGGCCCGCATCGAGGCTCTCAAGATTGGCAAAGAGTTCCGCAAGACAGATGCCCAGCAGGCGTGCAAGATTGACGTCAACAAGGCTAGCAAACTGTGGCAGTCATATGACCGTGTAGGCTGGTTCAACCCCGACTACTTCCGCCAGTACCTCTGAGCCCGCATCGCATAGCCTTTCCCATTCTTTTTCCTCTTCTTGGTTACGATGCATCAAGTTGCACTTTGCATCTTGCGGCTCACCCGACTGGGTTCGCTTCTTTTGGATAAGACTGGTATGATTACAAGGAGTGATGGCTGTCCTCCTCCGCATGATATTACGAACGGCGTTTCGATGGGTTTTTATGGATACTATTGTTGGCATGAACAGGTGTTCGGGAGTGGATACTGTCCTCCCTCATGGCGTTTTTGGGCTTCTCGACTTTCCTTTTCTTTATCTAACGGCATGCGATACCCCTCAGCTCCCACCAACGAATGTTGTAGTCCCGTGTGGACATTGTCGCCGCAAATGCAGGCTTTCTATCATATTTAGTACTAGACCAGAATGCACTATCTCACATTACTTGAATGTTCTCCACAATGCATTTACGTGACTGATTGAATCTGCATTACAATGCTGTTAAAATGTCGCATGGCTCCTGTCGCGATGACGAGTCCGTGATACGTCCGTGAAAGGCTCAGGGTCTCGGGCGGGGATGCGTAAGCTCCACAGGCGTGCAGGCGTGGCGCGGCTGCTCTGTCACTAATTTGGGACAACGGCTTGGCCGACCTCAAACCCGCGCGTTCCCACGACTCCTCCCGCCCGCGACGACTACCTTTCACTCCACCAATCGACTCCGCCGAGTCGCGCGGAACCGCCCATCATGTCGCGCACACAGCAGGTCGAGCATACCGACTCCATCAGCAGCCAGGACCCCAGCCGCGACGAGCCGAAGAAGACCAAGAGCAGGAGGCCGCCGAGTAAGCCTGATATGGACATGCGCGAAGGAGGACGTTGCTGATGGGATACTAGATACTGCGTTCAGGCAGCAGCGCTTGAAGGCATGGCAGTAGGTGGAATCATGGCGGCAGATGGCAATACCCACGACTAACCGCGCATCAGGCCCATCTTAACGCCGAAGACCGTTCTGCCTCTCTTCTTCATCGTTGGAGTTATCTTTGCCCCCATCGGCGGGCTTCTTCTCTATGCTAGCGCGCAGGTCCAGGAGATCTCAATCGACTACACAAACTGCAACTCGACCGCGCCTGAAGTTCCCGTAGACTTCAATCCGAACGCCGAAAACCCGCTCAAATCGATACCCGGCGGCAGAGTATCCGCGACCTTCAGATCCAAAGAAGACCCCCAGGCCATGTGGGGTTGGGGTCGCGAGAACTACACCTTCGAATCCGGCGTCGAGCAGGAGACAAACGTGTGCATCCTCAGCTTCAACATTCCGGAAGACATCAAACCGCCGATCCTTTTCTACTACCGCCTCACAAACTTCTACCAGAACCACCGCCGCTACGTCAAGTCTGTCGATATCCAACAACTCAAGGGTGATGCGCGTAGTGCCAGCGACCTCAGCTCGGGCGATTGCTCGCCGCTGGACGTAGACTCCGAGACAGGCAAGCCGTACTACCCCTGCGGTCTCATCGCCAACTCCATGTTCAACGACACATTCAGCCAGTTGACGCTCGCCAACCCCGCGGGTGGAACAAATGCCGGTGGCCAGAACTACACCATGACTGTGGAGGGAACTTCATGGAGCCACGAGGGTGATCTGTACGGCGAGACAAAGTACAAGCCTGAGGATGTTGTCCCACCACCGAATTGGCAGGAACAATACGAGAATGGGCGTTATGGTGACAAGCTGCCTAACCTGCATACCTGGGAGCAATTCCAGGTCTGGATGAGGACCGCGGGTCTGCCTACGTTCAGTAAATTGTACCAGCGTAACGACAAGGATGTTTTGACTGCTGGTACTTACCGTCTTAAGATCTATGACCGTACGTTTTTCCCATCTCTCTTCCCTCTCCCTTCCTCTCTTTACCCTTCCTCCCCTCTCCCCTCTCCCAAACCTCCTCTCATACTAACACCCCCCAGGCTACCCCGTCGACAAATACAGCGGCACAAAATCCATCCTCATCTCCACACGCACCGTCATGGGCGGCAAGAACCCTTTCCTCGGCATCGCATACCTCGTTGTCGGCGGTATCTGTATCTTGCTCGGAGCGGTCTTCTTGGCTACGCATCTGATCAAGCCGCGCAAGTTGGGGGATCATACGTATTTGACTTGGAATAATGATCAGCCTAGTAGTGCTACTACGACGGGGAGGGCTGGTGGTGCGTAGATGAGCGATGTGTATGGGCTCAGCGGCCCTTGAGGCTCGGCGTGAGCTGGGCGTCTTCTCCTTGCTGTTTAGGCTGGTATCGTACTGTACGTATATCATAAGCCTTTCTTGTTGGGCGGTTTGGGCGTTTGGGTGTTTTGAGAGCGTAGGGACTAGAGTATAGTCGTTTTTTATTGACATTATCCAATTTCATCATGTTCGAATACTTTGATGTTGCGCGCACTCATATAGGTATTGGGGGCATGTCATTGCTATCAATGATGATTCAATGGCCTATGTTGGATTATCTCATCGATCTTACCACCTGGTTCTCCAGTAGATTAAGGTTAAGACGTGTTGGCATCGTGCTATGTCGATTTCACCCGGCATTCCTCATGTTCACAGTCCTTGGGGCTTCGTGGGATCCTAAGCCTGCTGCGGAGTACCTAGGTAGAGTCGTAAAGTCGGAGGCACTGATAGCACTGGCACGTGACGAGCCTTGGCAACCTTGGAAGTCTCCTGGTGCCCGCGCGTCTCAGAGAGCCTCCAGCACGGACGCGCCAACACTCCTCTAGTAATCAACAGCCTGCGCATCGCACTGTCTACATCACTACACGCGCTCTTAGGTTTCTCGACCTGTAGCATGATGCTGTCGCACGATGGTCATATCTCAGCCTTGCCCCGCCTTCTGCAGCGGACGCCACGCTGCAGGCGGGCTGTGCCTTCTGCCTTGGGTGGGTGTTGAAGATGCAGCCTGCCCCAACGATCAGCGCTGACCGACCAGCCTTCCTTACTTCTACTCTGACTTAGCAAGCCCTGCTACCACTGGCAGTAACTAATCATCAGAACCTTTATATCTTTCCTAATGATTAGCTCGAACCAGGATCAGACTGCAGTTTGAGTCGAAGGCGCACTCTATTGCTTTCTTTCTCGAGAGAACCCCTCTATACTGTTCTTTTGCGCACGCACACCTGCGTCCAAAACTCGATGCGATGCGGCTACTGTACACGACAGGCGATGGACAGTTCAGATTTACGAAAGACATCATCCGTGCTGAGGAGATTCCACCCTATGCGATTCTCTCACACACCTGGGGTGATGAAGAGGTGGTCTTTGACGACGTGAAGTCGTCTGGTGTGCAAGATATCGCAACAGACAAGAAAGGCGGTTGGGACAAGATCCGCTTCTGCGCACGACAGGCGAAGCTTCATGGCTTAGAACACTTCTGGGTGGACACTTGCTGTATCGACAAAGCAAACAATACAGAGCTTACGGAAGCGATCAACTCGATGTTTCGCTGGTATCAGAATGCGAACAAGTGTTATGTCTACCTTCCAGACGTCGAGGGCAAGTCTTCAATGGAGGAAGGCAGACCGTCCTCGGCATGGAAGGCAGCCTTCAGAGCAAGCAGATGGTTCACTCGAGGTTGGACGCTCCAAGAACTTATAGCTCCGCGTTCCGTCGAGTTCTTTTCTAGAGATGGAACACGTCTGGGGGACAAGGAGTCGCTGGAACAGACCATACATGAAGTCACGAAACTGCCTCTTGAAGCTTTGTCAGGGAGAGAGATGTCAAAGTTTGGATTTGACGAACGTTTCTCGTGGGCACAAGATCGTCAGACGACACGCGAAGAGGATGGAGCCTACTGCCTGCTAGGTATCCTCGGTTGCTCCCTACCACCGATTTATGGCGAAGGCAAAGAGAAGGCAATGAAGCGACTTAAAAAAGAGGTCCAGGGAGAGGAGAGGCTTATCAAGATACGCAGCTGGCTTTCGGCGCCCGACCCATCTATCAATTACCAAAAGGCGCACAATCAGCGGCAGACTGGGACAGGGCTATGGTTACTACAGCACGAAACTTTCTTGAAATGGAAGGAAGGCGCAGCGTCGCGATTATGGCTCTATGGGATACCAGGATGTGGAAAGACCATCCTGAGCTCTACTGTTGTTGAGCATCTGCAGCACCACTGCGGTGACGACAAACGTAAGGTGACGGTGTACTTCTACTTTGACTTCAATGATGCACAGAAGCAGATTCCAGAGCTCATGCTTCGCTCATTGCTACACCAGCTCTTGCAGCATACGACGACGGTACCCGACGCTGTCGACGCATTATTCTCGTCCTGCGGAGACGGACAGCAACAACCACCGCTGCATAAACTTCTGACAGTGGCACCAGAGGTGATGCTACAATTTACGCATGTATACATCGTTCTTGATGCCCTCGATGAGTGTACAGAGCGCGGAGAGTTGACGAAGATGCTTGAAAAAGTGGCTGGATGGAAGCTTGAAAATACACATCTCCTCATGACGAGCCGGAAAGAGCGAGATATCGAAACATCTTTGGAGACTTTCGTGGTACCAGATGACATGATTGGTCTTCAAAGAGACGTAGTGGATGCAGACATATTACAATTCGTTCGACAAAAGCTGGGTGACGATAAACGGCTGGCAAAATGGAACAACAACGCCGAAGTCAGGCAAGAGATCGAGACAGCACTGATGCAAGGGGCACAAGGAATGTACGTGTACCATATTACCTTGGAAGGAGCTTAATCTAACCGTGTAGGTTCCGATGGGCTATATGTCAACTTGACGTGATCGCAGAGTGTCGCAATCTAGCGATGTTACGGAAGTCGCTTGCTACCTTACCGAAAACGCTAGACCAGACATACGACCGCATTCTCACAGCCATCAGCGAAGACGACCGCGTGTACACAATTCGGATTTTGCAATGGCTCACGTTTTCTGCCAGGCCGCTCTCTCTTCGAGAGGTTGCCGAAGTTGCCGCTATCGATGTTGCGCGCGAGCCCGCGTTCGATCATGACGAAGTGCTAGTGGATCCTCTGGAAGCGTTAAAAATTTGCTCCAGTCTGGTCACCATTGTAGTGAAAGAGTCGATTTTCTTCGAGCCAGGCATGCGGATCGTCACCCTAGCACACTACTCGGTCCAAGAGTACCTTATCTCAGAAAGGATCATACAAGGTCCGGCAAAGCAGTACAGCATGAAAGAGATCGAATGTCACAAAGCAATGACGATAGGCTGCTTGTGGTACCTAAATCGTTTCCAGCAACCGTTAACCGATGAAGTCTACTACGCTTCAGCGCTCGCAGAGTACTCCGCACAATCCTGGAGCGATCATCTCCAGAAGACAGGAGACGGGGAGGAAGAAATGAGTCGACTGGCAATGACTCTTTTGCTCACGAACGCCCCCGCATTTGTCAACTCGATCCGAATTTACAATCCGGAAACTGAGGAATTTTACACATTCCGATCAAGTGAACAAAGAATCGGAGCACCTCTTTACTACGCATCATTTCTTGGCCTAATCTCGATAACCAGACTGCTCTTGGGTCAAGACGTCGATGTCAACGCGAAAGGTGGACTCCACGGTAGCGCGCTACGAGCAGCCTTGGGCGAAGGACACTTAGTAGTTGCTGAACTACTAGTCAATGCGAAGGCCGACGTCGACGCTGAGGATGAAGCTGGGGAAACTGCATTATATGACGCTATATACAACGACGACGAGGCGATGGCCAAGTTCCTGATCGATGCAGGCGCCGACATCAACAAGCTAGTGGTAGGTCGCTATGCAATACAGGATGCTTCAGAAATGGGCAACGAGATTCTGGTCACGATGCTCATAGATGCAAAAGCGAATGTCAGCGTTCGGGATGAACATGGCGACGATGCACTCACAATAGCATTACATGGACATCACAAAGCAGTAGTCAAGCTACTGATTGATGCTAGCGCCAACGTCAATACGCGAGACAAAGATGGCCGTAGTGCACTACAAATTGCTTCAAGCAACGGCGACGAGGAGGTAGTCAGGCTGTTGATAAAGGTGGGCGCAGATGTGAACGCTCCTGGTAACGAATACTCCGGTCATGCACTACTAGCTGCTGCAGAAGGTGGTCATACAGCACTTGTTGAGTTGCTACTCGACGCAGGCGCTGATGTGAACGCTCCTGGTAACAAATTCTCCGGTCATGCACTACTAGCTGCTGCAGAAGGTGGTCATACAGCAATGGTTGAGTTGCTACTCGACGCAGGCGCCGATATTGATGCCCAGCATGCAGAGTGGGGTAGTGCGCTACACGGTGCAGTCAGATCATCACAAGAAACGACAGCGGAAGTGTTACTTAGAAGGGGTGCTAGCGCTGCGTCGGACATGCAGTCAAAAGGTGTTATGAATCACGCTATCGACGATTCAGAGTGTACACCTTCACTCGTCAGGTTATTGCAACAGTACAGCGTTCCATTGGACGCTATCGACGCTGAAAACATGACTCCTTTACATTATTGTGTAAAGTTTGGGCACGAAGTCATCGCGAAGCAGCTCATCGACGCGGGAGTACCAATTGACTCGAAAGTTCGTCGTCGGGCACGGCCCAGCAAAGTCGGCATATCAGGGAATAATACAGCGGGAGCTGCGATACCAATTTCAGCATCCATCTCAGCAGGCCTAACGCCTTTGCATTTTGCCGCCTTGAGAGGGAGGCGCTTAATGACCAAGTTTCTGTTGGCGCATGGCGCCGACCCCAATGCCCTTTCTGAACACGGTGAAACTCCCTTACATCTTGCGCTACGTGCAACAATACTTGGGCACGAATGCGGAGATAATTGGGATCAAGTAAGATTCAGAAATCCTCATGCGCACAATGAGACACTTGATGCATTATTGGCAGATCCAAGGACGTCTGTGACAGCAGCAGATGATAAAGGTGAAAGCGCTCTACACTGCGTTCGCTACGGGAGACCAGGAAGCGCGATATTGGTTCAAAGGCTCATATCTAGAGGAGCCGACCCACACTTGGTCAACTCGAGCCAACAAACTCCACTACATCTTGCCTCTCAAGATTTTGACAACGATTCAGTCAAAGTTCTGCTCAGGATGGGTGCGAACGTGCCCCCAGGCAACGAAGATCTTATCGATGCACTTAATCACGCCATGGGAATTGGAAATCCCGAAATCCTGATTGGGTTTCTCCAGAGTGAACAAGCAAAGGCAGCTACGCTGATAACATCGAAGGACAAGAATGGACGAAATGTGCTGCACCGTATGTTCTGGGCAGAGTGGCACGAAATTGAGACGGTTCAGTGGCTACTTGATCACGGCGCAGACGGTTCAGAGTTGGATAATTTCGGAGTTTCTCCGCTAGCGCAGTATCTCAAGAGCCATAGCTCGACTCTCGATGTTGAAATATGTCGGTCGCTCCTTGACACAAGAGAGGCTGCGTCCTTCGTCGGCCACGAGGGGCAAACCCTAGGGCACTTCTGCGCTAAAAGATTCGATTTCAGGCTCGCTATGCTCGAAGTCTTCGACGAAGGCGGTGTTGACCTGACGAAAAGGGACTGCCGCGGAAGAACTGTAATACACTATGCCATTCTGTACAACACTCTCACCGAACAGGTGTTGAGGTATCTTGTAACAGCGATTGGTATCAATCCAGATGAACAAGATCATCAGGGCCGTACCGCCTTGCGATACGCCGTCGAGAAGGCCGATTCAGTTTGCGACCGCGACTCCTTGGACTTCAAACGATTGCAAAAAAACATATCCTTGCTGTCAGAGTTGCGGGAAAGAGAAGGACCACCCTTGTTTGCCCAACCAGGTTCTTCAACCCACCTTCCCAATACCTCTCTTCCACTCAACCCAAATGGGAACCGAATGCAATAGCTTAGCTCCTGCACTGGCCTGCACTCTCTACCTTGCGCATTATTCTAATTCCCAAATCGACCAAGGCCCATCAATCGACTCTCTGGAAAGCGACTCAGACTCCAGATCACCAGCACCATTGCCATCAGCATCTCGGTCTTTTTACTGTACGCAAATGAGCCAGAAGCGAAGCACCCATCACTGTCTGGAATAACTACTGACAGCCTACGGCTTCGCGAAGAAGGAAAGTAGCAGAATGGAGCAGTGTACGCGATGCAGACAGACGCAACGCGTGAAACCATGGCAATTTGATGTGATCTACCTCAATTTCTCCCCTGGTTGCTACCGGCTCTTGCTGCGCCTTGAATGAAGGAAGAGAGAGACCGAGGGGAATCGAGGCTAAGTATCGGGGACGGAAGACAAGACGAAACAAGCAGAGGGATGCCTGAGAAGAGGAAGATCAAGGCACGAGCAGATAGTGCAGGAAGGGGGGATGAAGGACGCGGAAGAAAAGAGAAGGATGTTTGGGAGAGGATTAGATGTACGGGATCCGTGTGTAGCTGTGCAACAGCGTCACACTTACTTTCTTTCCTGCTTTCCCATATAACGTATTCGCAAACCACGATGGTGAGGGTCCGTTTCCGTTCTCTATTCTTGTATCGAAGACAGGCTGCCATGCAGCTACTGCGAGACAAAGTTAGTCCTCTCAACACAGCCTCTTCGCCCTTGACTTCACCGCGACTTCTCTACAATTCCAACATCAAGACATTCCAACTGGTGGAATCCCACCTCGTGCAGATACACACGTCGTGAAATTAGTGCTCCGAGCATTGCGCCGGCACCACGCATAACGCCGAACCACGCGACGAGCTGTACCGCGCATTACGCCGTACCTACTGTGTGCAGACTAGACTACCTCGCTTGCAGCGATCTATGAAGTTGTCTTTGAGCTACCATTGGGTGAAGCTCCGAGGTTTTATATTGCGCGGACAGAATGGTGGTTGATGGAGCGCAGGTCGAAGCATGCGGAACGGCGGTGAAGTACCTCGAGAAGGAGCGAGGGTGTTTGGGAAGTAGTTGGCAATGCGAATGCGAATGCGCTGTCAACAGCATCAAGTGTCAGAAAGAAAAGCTTTCGCAGCGACGCCAAGTGTGGAGAAATCATGAGCTTGTTTGGTTTCTTCGAAGTTCGCTGGCCTCAAACATGCGGAGGTTGGTTCAAAACAGGGGTCCGGCCCGACAGCACGTTCAAAGATCCGAGAAAGACCTGAACATCTTCGTGCATCCGCGCTCGTTTCGTGATGATCTGGACTCGCTATCTGATCTTTTCATTTACATGAGGGCTAAAGGCGATCAGTAAGAGGCAGACATGGCTAATATTGACTCGCTCGACGGTGATAAGAAGGACGTCGTCCACTGTCTATCTCGTCAACCCGCATTCCCGTCATCTCCAACTTGAACTCGCACGCGAAAACTCTCATCCCGATATCCTACGCGACCATCACAATGCAGATCTCCGCACTTATCCTCCTCTTCACAGCCACGGCCTCCGTCTCCGCTTGGGTGAGTAACTACCAACCCTACCACCCCCACTCCCCCATGTTCAACACGCCAACTAACACCCCCACCCCTCAGCAATGTTTCGACCACGACGAGCACTTCACCACCAACCACGCCCAACTAGCTGAGGGCAGCGACCCCAACAACCAATGGGGATACTGCCCATCCAAGACAGGGTGCTGCGCAGATGGTAAAACATGGTACGCGTGCAAGAACGTAAGTTTTCGCCTCTTCTCAACTAGACTATGCTAGTGTGAGCGGTATGCTGATGATGATGGATAGGTATGCAAGGGTGGTGCTGCGTGCAGCGTGTCTGGCGGCAAGACATCTTGCTAGAACATCACGCCGGTTCGCACGTAGCTAGCTTTGGAATGCTTTTGAAGATATCAAGTTAAATCGAATGTGAATAGCTTCTGTATAGTCAACTTGAGCTCGTGTAATTCGAGTGCGAGGTTCAAGACGTCAGGACTTTTCTCTTACTAGACCAAACTCTGCCTAAGTACCTTGCGGTCGGGCAAAGCTTATCGCCTTATCTTATATCTTATATCTTATATCTTATATTATAATTAGCTATATCTTATACTTAGCTATATCTTACGCTTAGCTATATCTTATACTTAGCTATATTTTACGCTTAGCTATATTTTATACTTAGCTATATTTTATACTTAGCTATATTTTATACTTAGCTATATTTTATACTTAGCTATATTTTATACTTAGCTATATTTTATACTTAGCTATATTTTATAGTTAACTATATTTTACTATTAACTATATTTTACTATTAACTATATTTTACTATTAGCTATATTTTATATTTTATTATTATAGCTTATTTTTAAGCTACTAAGCTTAAAACTATTACTTAAGCTACTTATTTATATAAGTAGATAAAAAGCTTATTTTTTTATAAATTTAATTTATAAAAAAGTACTATAAGCTTTAAGTTATTAAGTAGATAATATAATTATTTTAAATTTTAAATTTTAGATTTTATTTTATAGTACGCTATATTTTATAGTACGCTTTATTTTATAGTATACTTTATCTTAAATCTTAAATCTTATATCTTATATTTTATTTTACGCTTAGCTATATCTTACACTTAGCTATATCTTACACTTAGCTATATTTTATATCTTATATCTTATAGTGAGCTACAACTTTATTAAAGCTACCGCAACAGAACTGTATACCAAAGTACAATCTTAACAACAAGCCCGAACAAGACTAGACAGCAGTCTAAGTCAAATGCACACTCTACTCTTTCGACCAGCTACGTCGTATATCTCATCTCGCATCTTATCTCGCAGCTAGCTGTCTTCTTCTGCCTCTCGTGCTCGAGCCCAAGTAGTCTTCTCGCAAGCGACTTTAGTTCAATACAAGAACACCGCAGTTAGTTATATCTTAGAGCTTATGTTTTACGTCTTGTCGCACCTTTAGCAACATCTCACATAGCAGATATCACGGTTAGCTACGTCTTGCATCTTATATCTCACCTTCAGCCACGTCTCATATCTCATATCTTACCTTGCGCCACATCTCACGGTAATATCTCACGGTGATATCTCACGGTTATATCTCACGGTCAGCCACATCTCACCACCTTAATCCCAACCCCATTCCAGCCACACGACTGCGTAGACAATACGCACAACAATTGTATAGCAGCAATACACCCGTTTCCGCACATGCCCATATCCCCTCGTGATGTGCTACTAAACTGATCGTATTTAATCAATGCGTTGGTTAAATACGATCAGTTTAGTAGCACATCACACGACGACATAAACAAGATACGTATACTCGGTGTATGCATTACATTAAAAGGATCTAGGACTCTTAGGTTCGTAATAATACAGTTGACATCCCAGTCTTCCACGTTGCCACCAGTCCACATAACCGCTTTCCGATCTAGCTAACCAGCATGAACAGCCCGAGAGCAGGGTATGTCATCTGGAACCAATTCATGTCCAGCCCATTGATCGAATCCATCTGGTACCCAACCCGTTGAACGGCTTCGCAAGGAAAGCTAGCGACGTTGTATTGATGAGCAGGCTCGATGAGTTGTACGACACCGACGAGACTTGAGTTGCCAACACTCTGCATCGAAACGGTGTCGGGAACTTGGTTGGCGAGGCGAGACACGCTGATACCACCCGGAGTACGAATTTGAACGGGTGCTGTTTCGGGTATGGGGAAGGGCGGGGGCATGTGTAAAGCCAAAGTGCAAGTTTTGCCGGCGAACTCAGGACGAATATCGTAAACGAACACGGTTGATATGGTAGGTGATAGCTGGGCAGTGTATCCGTTGCCGATCACCTTGGTAGGGTCGGCCTTATCGATGGGAATGAGCTGATGGGGGTATTCGAATGGTTCTTGGAGAGGGGTGAAAGTTGGTTGCGGTAGGCCTTCGATAAGCTCAAGACCAATTCCAGTGGACGAAGCGGAAGGCGATGCTGAAATCTGAGCTGTTGGAGTCGGCCGATCAAAGCTGATTACTGGAATGGTGACGATTGTGGGCTGGGATGTCGGAGCATTTACTGAGACATATTAGCTTCTGACTGTTTGGTTTAAGAGTTCCTCAGCCCTCTTACTCGTCGACCCAATACCCGTTGACATCCCAATACTGCTGCTACTGCTCGAAGGCTCCTTCCCATAGCCATTAGTCCGTGCAACCCCGTATGGGGAAGGAACGGAACAAAGGCAATTGCAAGAAACCGACAAGAGCGCAGACAAGGTATACAGGAACGACGACAGGATAGGTGACAAGAGGAACATTGGAAGGTACTAGCTTACCTTAGTGCATGTGCCCGATCCGCTCTGGCAACCGGTACCGCAGTGTCCGGCAGTGTTTCCGCACCATCCGTACTGCGAGCAGCAGTTACCGAATGGCGAGCCAGCGCAAGTGGCACCTCCCTGAGATCCGCAAGTACCATCGGTGGAGACCTTCTTGGACGGGTTGCTGGGTGCGGAACCAGCAGGGCAAGAAAGGTCGAACAGAGGCTTCACCTGCATCAAGTCACCCGCAGGCTTGATGCCGAACGAGGGGACGGGGTTGCCGTACTGGACATCCTGGAGGATGTAGTACCACAGGTTGACGTTGTCCTTGACGAGCTGGCAGGTAACGTCCTCCCAGTAGATGCGGGCATTATCCGCACTGGGCTTACCCTGGTTGAGTGTCTCGCCGCTAACGGGCCATCCAGTCTCGGTAACCCAGACGGGCTTGCCCTTGGCAGCGGCAACAGTCTGGTGGTAGGCGTCGAAGAAGAGCTGGCTGCCGGATCCGACGTTGTTGTTCATGGTGGTCTGGAAGTAGGGGTAGGCGTCCATGCCGATGAAGTCGACGGCCTCAATGACGGGGTTGTTGGTAGCGTTGACGTAGACGGTCCAGGTGTCGACGTGACCGATGGGCTTGCCCTGGAGAGCAGTGCCGCGGATGGCATCACGGGTCTGCTTGATGTAGTTGACGAGCTCCTGGGGCTGAGCACCGGCGCCGGACTTGTTCTCGATACCAGTGGGGGTGACACGGTAGAGATCCTCACTGCCAACGGAGATGCCCTCAACGAGGTCAGTGAAGGCAGTGCCGTAACGAGCAATGGCGGCCTTGAGAGCAGTAATCTCGTTGTTGAAGTTGGCCTGACCGGCGGAGGCCCACATGCCGAGGAGGAGACCGGTCTTGGTGTTGATAGCAGCCTGGATGGCTTCAATGACGTCGGTCTGGGTGCCGTGCTGGATCATGGTGTACAGACGGGCGCTGGTCCATCCATTGGTGCCAGGAAGCTGCTTGGCGGCGTTGAATTCATATTCAAAGTCGGCCTGCACCTTGGCCTGGTTGTTGTTGAAGTTGGCGCCGTAGTTGAAGCCCTTGATGGCAGCGTTGGCCGAGGTCAAGAGGCCTGCAGCGGCGAGGATGGTGGAGGAGACGCGCATGATGTTGGTATTAGGAGGAAGAAGACGATATTAAAAACGTAGAATGAAGTCTTGAGAAGTGAGAAAGGTGCGAGAGAGCGGCGTGGGCGAGGAATGGTGAGCAGGACGCAGCGAAGTATTTATTCACCGGTGACGTTTTGCTGGATCTAGACGTCGCTGCCGTCTGAAGGCTATTCATCGGACGTGCATTAGCCGCACGGTCACAGCTAATTAGTGCCTTCTCGAACGAGCAGGCACGCAGGAACGCGGATGCCGGCGGTGATCCCAACCCTGAAGCCTGGTCAAGCAATCTTGGCATGCAGGCTCTTCAACAGCAGCCTTCATGCCATCCCCAACACTCACATCCTTCGTTCGTTGCTGCTTTCATCGCAGTCGTCGACGGTTGAAGCTCACCAAGCATTCTAGAAGGCCCGATGCGGCAAGACAGGGAACGACCCTTTCGCCCCGTCCTCGCTAATCATTGGCCCATGTGGAGAAGCAATACTCAACGGCCAGACAGCGACGTCAAGCCCCGGCATAGGGTCGTATCCGGATAAAAATAACCCAGCATCGACATCATCCCCGCCGCGGGAGATGAGCTGCACATCTCATGATGAGCGTGCAACATGGCACACGCGGATTTATCGAAAATCGTCGACACCTGTGTGGCTGATCAGGTCAATAGTTTGTCCATTAACACGAGTGCGACACCCTCATGCGAGTGTGTGGTAGACGCATGTTCCCGTGTCATCCGTTGGCGTTGCGCACTACCGTGGTTGTGAGCTCGTTGTTGACAGCGCCGAATGCACCATCCATCATGGTCGCAGGCCGAGATTCCAGAATATGGTGACGTGGATAGCGCTGCTGGTCCGAACTCAGGAGAAACGGTGCCGACGCCAGGCACATTCGATCCGAGCTATGACGCGCATCATCGGCTTTGAATCCGCGGATGCGGGAGGCAAGAATTTGAAGTTCAGGCGCGAAGTTGATGTTGGAAAGGCAAAGGATGCGGAGAATAACTCCAGCGGTTTGGTGTCTTGGAAGGCGTTTCGTCCCGGCGCCATGCGTCAATGTCACGAATCGGTACGCTAAGCTTTACCCTTACCACAGCTTCGATATGTCGATGGAAGCTTGGTTAATCGATTAGGCACTCGGAGCACTCTGCGACATCGACAAATTTGGAGATAACGGGTGGATATCGTGGCTGTGAGGTCGCTTGCAGACATTGCCGTGTTCTATCGGGATTCTAGCCACGCGCACGGTACCCAACGAGAAGCTGCCCGAAATTGCGGACGACATGATTGTGGCACGAGCAGATACCTGCGTTGGGGTTACGCGGAGTACCTGCATAGCCAGGTGACTTGACCTGACTGTACGACTGATACTGAGATAACTCATCATCTTACCCTCAGGCGCGTGTGGCCAAGATCACTCCGTTAAAGTTGACAGCATGACTTCGGCGAGACTAAACTGCGATACAGGTGGTTTATTAGGTGTAGCTCCATGACTACATCAACTACCATTCTAAAGTTCAGCAGCATCTGAGTACTATATTGTAGCATTCCATGGGTATTACCAATAGGTTGGCAAAGCGCGGTGGCGAATTGATTGTCAGACTGCGATGAGAACGCTCCCGGAGATACAACTCTTTCGTGGAGATATCTCAGACGCAATATTGCTTGGTGACAAGAAGCGGTGAGCTACTTTTCCAGTATTTCCTTGAAATTGGTGACAGACGATGTACCGATGGAGGGCAGTCGATAGATGCGACTGCAAAGGTCCACCGTCGCTTGTTATGGTTCAGCTTTCTGACACCTATCCAACATTATGACTGTAAATTTTGATGTATCTGGTAGTTGTGTTAAGAGAGTGAGAATGCTGAAGGCGGAGTTGAGTATCAGATGGAAGTCTTGGCATCCCGCCCTAGCGCGATGTCGCGGTTCATGTTGCCTGAAGCTCTCTCTAGCTAGAGAAACATCCAAGCCGCCAACACAACTCCGCAACACCTCACCGCCGCCTATACGCCCCCAATCTCGACTTCCCTGTTCGAGACACACTTGGATATCTCACCAAAAACCTTCATCACTTCACCGCACAAACAGCCGCCATGGTACGCCTCATTGAACCCCGCTGGAGCTCTTGTACTAACATGAGCAGTTCATAGCACGAAGCGAATATGGTAAGCTTTCCAAGACGATTATACAGCAGAATATATACTAACTAAAACTCTAGACCGTGGTATCAAGTTCGTCCACCCCGCGCCTCCCACTACAAGCCCGCCCGCTTACACATCCACAGCACCTTCTCGCCCGAAGGCCGTCTCTTCCAAGTCGAATACTCGCTCGAAGCCATCAAGCTCGGTTCAACAGCGATAGGCGTACGTCCCTACATCCCCCCTCCCCATCACACCGGCAAATCCCCAAACTCACAACACACAGGTCGCAACCGGCGAAGGCGTAATCCTCGGCGTAGAGAAGCGCGTCACCTCGACGCTCCTCGAAACCAGCTCCGTAGAGAAGATTGTCGAAATCGACCGCCACATCGGATGTGCCATGTCGGGTCTGCAAGCCGATGCCCGCAGCATGATCGAGCACGCGCGTGTCGAGAGCCAGAACCACGCTTTCAACTACGCCGAGCCACTTCGCGTTGAGAGCTGCACGCAGGCGATATGTGATTTGGCGCTGAGATTTGGTGAGGGTGCTGAGGGCGAGGAGAGCATCATGAGTCGGCCGTTTGGTGTCGCGCTGTTGATTGCGGGTTATGATGAGGATGGTCCGAGTCTGTATGTCACTCCTTCCCATCTTCCTATCATGTCTTCTCCTACAACATCCCCAGCTCTAGCTCTAGCTCTAGAACTGGGATCACAAACTAACACCCCCCAGCTACCACGCCGAACCCTCAGGCACATTCTACCGCTACGACGCCAAAGCCATCGGCTCCGGCTCCGAGGGCGCCCAAGCCGAACTCCAGAACGAATTCCACAAGTCGCTTACGCTCCCCGAGGCCGAGGTGCTCACGCTCAAGACGCTCAAGCAGGTCATGGAGGAGAAGCTGGATAGCAAGAATGTGCAGTTGGCTAGTGTGACCAAGGACAAGGGCTTCAGGATCTACACTGATGAGGAGATGGCTGAGGTTGTTGGAAGGCTGCCGACGAACTAAGCGATTGATGGGGGGATGAGAGGATGGCTGGGGAAAGTGGTATATGGGATGGCATATGATAGCATCTTGATAGATGTGCGAGTCACGCGAAAATGAAGCAATGACCAAATATCTTGGAGTTATGAGTGGCGAATTGTCATACGGCATCAACGAGCTCGTGGTGACGTCTGGCAATCGAGTAGGTCGTGGATCAAGATACAATAAAGCACGTATGCAGACCTCAACATATCCAAGCCAGAAGTACGCCACATCATCACAAATACAGTCACCCCAAGCATATTCAATATGTCAACAAAGACAAAAGCGGTCTATTTCCCCATCTGCAGTAAAGCCAATTGTCCCTCGATTGCCATATTATACATCCCGACCCATGCATCCCTCCTCATCCACGTCGAATAAGGCGCTCAGAAAGGGTTATCCTCAGGCGGTATCTCAACCGTAAAGAACTTGTCCAGGATAGGAATCTTCTTCATGATGTCGTCGCGCACTTTGGGGACTTCGGCGAAGAAGAAGAGGGCGAAGAAGCCGGCTACACCGCCGAAGCCGGCGGCTAGGCCACCGCTGGGATGGGGTTAGTTGTGTGTGTGTTGGATAGGTGGGTGATGGGTGGAGGGAGGGGAGGGGAGGGAAGGAGGAATGGAGGGAGACGTACTATTTCGCGGCTTGCTTGAGGGTGAGGCCGTGATAGTTCTTGGGGATGGTGTATCTAGTGGTTGTATGTTAGCGTCTGGAGCTTCGACGTTGCGACGGGCGTAGATGGTATAGGCGGCGGCGCGGTGTGGATTGGGTTGATCCTCCTCTTTTCCGTGTGTGATTCGGTCGTGTGCGTGGCATTCAATTGCCCATACCACCGTCCATCGAGGCGTCGCAAGCCATCCTCCTCTTCCCGCACCTCCCCAATCCCTCCCAAACCAATCCCAACCCTTCCACCGCCCCTCCCACAGCCGTGTTGATATCAGAAAATACATACTGAGGACCGAAAGGACTCCTGTAAGCCTTGTACGGGCTGCGCATGCTCTGTCACCACATATTAGCTTCTTCCTTCTTCTTTCGTCATCGCCTCCAATTCCCCATTGCACGGGCCTCGACTTACGACAGCAGCGGGCGTCTTGCCGTGGTGGCCGAAGGATGAGACAGACATCTTTGGCGAGTTCGTTGGGGGGTTAAACGCGGGTGGAAGGGTGTGGTCTGGCGTGATGTCTGGTGAGGTTGTTGCGGCAGAGAAAGCGCGGGAATGCTGGGCTTGGCGGCGCTGGGAAAAGGTGGACGAATCAGGAGCCGCGGGATTTTGCGGGTGGGTGCGTCAGCAGGGTTGGGGAGGACACCAACATCTCTCCACGCTTTGAGACACACTACTATTTGTTCTTCTCGATTGTCCCAATTATCGTCTGATAGCGAGGGGTCTGCGCGGTACTACTGCGAAACGCTCTGGTATCGCGGGACCCTTCATGACACTCACTGGCGGGTGAAAGAGGAAGACGAGGGCTTTTATTGTCCCAGTATTTCTCATCCTCACTTCTTATTGACATCTCTAAAGATTAACCTCGGGGGTATATAACTTCATCAGCATTCTGCTTGCGTCCAATATGTCACGACCATTCCATCGCCGCCATCTCTTGCTCATTTGCAATATCGCTTTCTCACTTTCTTAGGCCCTGAGCTCCTTGCAACATTGACCTCGATAGCGGACATAGACAGCTACGCCTCGAACTGGAAACCGAAGCAAGCGGATTCACTACCTCTGTTGAATGGGGAGGGCTTGGCATCACGTCAACACCCAGCAAGAGCATCTGCCTTGGCCGTTGGGTGGGTTATATCACTACGGAGCTTTCGCATTCTCTATACTTTCTACAACTCTTCTTATCAGACTGTCTTCGCCCTCATTCAACCAACAAGCGCCTCAGCCGTGGACAATTAGGTAGGCTTACTATTCCGCCTTCCCACCAACACACCTTCGCCAACACCATGGCGACACAGAACGGCGATGAGAGCGATTCGTATGACGAATGTGAAGTGCAGCTAGAACGGTTCCCTCGGGCGTCCGAATGGTCGCACACACCCGCTACACGGACCTTCCACCCCTTCTCCCGCCTTCCTGCAGAACTCCGCGCCAGAGTATGGGCTTTCGCGGTACATGACCAGAAAGAAGACCTCGGCATCGCGCATATCGATCTCGAAAACCAAGTCAACATCCATGAGGAGAAAGGAAAGATTATCGCATACACGTTCCGTGGCTACCCTTCGCTCTTCTTCGTCAACCGTGAAGCCCGCTATGAAGCTGCCAAGGTCGACGGAGGTACGTGGTACCCATTGATGGCTGGAGTAGAGATCTACGCAAACCTGGACAAGGAAGAAGTTTTCGTCTTCTCTTGCTATGAAGGTCCAGGCCTGGAGCTCGCGATTCGTCGTTTTAATGGAGGGAACAAACTTGAGTGCAATGGCCGTGGCGTTTACCCTCTCCGGTATATCCATGCCTGAGTACAACACCATGTTGTGGGAGAAAGAGAAGGACCAGGACGTATGGCAGAGGACTGGGATGGTTATTCGGTACGAATAGGTCAGTACAGCCGTGCGTCGATCACGCGCGGGAGGACTTGTTATAGCCAGAGTGAGAATATCCATCAGCGCGGCCGATACGGTCAGGTATCTTTCGAGTCTCCTGTTCCAACACAATGCCGGCGGTGCAGCCCGGGGAAAGCATGTAACAAATCGACGATGACCAAATAGTTCGCCATCAGGCAGTGCAATGGAAGCGTCTCCATCACTCCACGACTATGCTCATGGATGCGTTTCTTGCGTTCTTCCAAAGACTCCCATTTTCTTTCTCTCTATTGCTCGCCCCCATTGTCATTTTTCCAAGTCCCCGCATAATGATGCGTAACCAGTTTCGGCGGCAAAAGTTCTTCTTCTTCCGGTTTATACGTATTCGCAGACGCCGCAAACGACCGACCCGGCATGACCAAAACATCGCCCACCAGCTTCGGCTGCACAAGCTCCATCATATCGCGCGCATCAACCTCCCTATCAAGTATCCTCCCCAAGCTCGTATACACACTGCGGGTCAAGCGCCGGGGACCAGTAAAATCAACAACATCCCCCATGATATCCATGGTCGCGTTCTGGACCGGGATGCTGTGCTCCGCCGTCTTGTCTCGCAGTGTCTGAAGGATATCGTCGATGACCTGCATCATGTGTGGCGATCGCGGTTTGGCCATTATCGTCCAGCTGGCGAATTCGCGGACATATTCGCCGGGCCAGCCTTGATCGAACTCCCATCCTACTACTAGCGAAGCGATTCCCTGGTATGCGGCTGGCACCCATTCGTCCATGGAGACGCCTTCTTCGCAGGAGACGTCTAGGTCGGACCAGATTCCGCCTTCGTTCCATAGCAAGACATAGCGCAGCATGTCGGCTTTGTAGATAGGGACGGGTAATGCGAGGTAGGCGTCGACGATATCCGGTCGGGATTCCGCAAAGGTCTTACGAACGTACTCATCGCCGTCGTCGTCCGTCAAGAAGTGAGCTCGGTAGTCCGGATTGCTATCCACACAGCTATCGGTCCAAGCTCGCGTCTCTTCAGAAAGGCCATTAGGCCCCAACTTGTACCAAATGCGTTTAGGAAATCCGCCGTTTTGCGGTGGTGGCTGCGCTATCGCGGGCGTACCCGACGCACGGACAGTGAAGTGATCTTGAATGGAGAGAAAGTGGTAAACCAACGCTAATGTGCATAGCGCTATCAATGTGTAATGATTGAAAACTTTGGGTAGCGACAGTGACATGGTGGAAAAAGCCAACAAAGGGGGAAGGACAAAGAGGAGCGCACGAGATCGCAAAGCGCCACGGAGGGGCGATCCTTATACAAATGGTGGGCGAACGCCGCAGTGAGACCGGTACCTGCAGCTCACAGACTTTAGGGGCGGCTGCACGCATTCTATTTTCACGGAGCGCTGGGTGTGGCGCTTAACTTTCTGTTATCACATCTCGCTTGATGGGGCACGGTAGCGCTGATACATGGGTCTGTTGGGGTTGATGATCTAAGATCACGGCTAATGTTGGGGACCCTTTCAACTGTTGGACTAACCCGAACATCATCTCGACCCCCGAACACGCTCTCGTATTCATTCCCCGGAACTCCATGGCTTGCCTTCAGTTCTCATGGCGGCTGCATCAAGTTGGCCCTAGGCTTTCATCCAAAACCGATGAGTACAAAGAAGTTTCATCACGAGGGGCGCATCGTGGCAGGGTACCACTGCACCCTACGCCTCTCGCTGCTGGAACGAGAGGAATGAGAGGAGCGGAGTCTGAGCCATGTTACTACATGCGATTGCTTCGCCCGGTTGCCAGCTTCAAGTTTTGTTCAGCGTGTGTTTCTTGTCACTCGCTGTTCAACCTCACTCATTTCACTTCGATCCTGCTGCTAAACAATCGATCTCGCAATTGCCTAGTCTTTAGAGACGATTCAGTCCGTCATGGCCTTACTAACAACATATACTTTGCTAGCCATACTATCCCCCCGCGTATCCAGTCTCGGCATCCAATTCATCAACCCCCCAACCCACGGCACAGACGGCGGCCTCAGCAACCCGCCCACCTACAAGCAAGACTACACCATAAACATCCAATGGTATCCCGGCGACGAAACAGGGCCCTACGACCTAGTCTTGCACCAAGTCAAAACACTCGGCCAAGACCAGACCGGCGACGGCGAGTTCATCATGCGTAAGTCCATCCTGCGTAGGAAGGACAGCTCAGTTCCGTGACCCCCAAGGTTATTTACAGAAAGAAAAGCTAACATGTGAACCCCAGCGAGTATCGTGAATAAAACGAGTTATCTGTGGCAAGTCAAGACGAATGCGAGGCTGGAAGAGTCGACGCTGTTCTTTCTTAGTGTTTTTTCGGTCGATGGGGATTCGGATACTAGTCAGTATTTTAATATTGTGGATGGGTTTATCGCGGGGAGTGGTGCGTCGTCTGAGGCGGTGGGTTCGACTACTTCGGCGACGCGGTCGTTTTGGTCACCAGAAGGATTGTCAACTGCAGCTTCAGCGTCGGCTTCAGCATCGGCTTCAACGTCGGCCTCAAGAGTATCCGGCACGCCAGGTACGGAATCGGGTACAGGTTCAGCGAGTACACCAACAAGTCCTACCGCGAACACTCCAACAAGCACCATCGCAGATCCATCGACCCCTCACGACCAAGAGGTCCACCAGCACATGCACAACGACCTCCGCCTAGGCCACAAAATCGGTCTCGGCATAGCTATACCCGCTACGCTTGCCATTGGAATAGCAGCTGGCTGGCTACTCTTTCGCCGCCTTCAAAGAAAGAGAAGAAGGGTATCACACGAGATCCTCGCTACGGAAACTGCACAGTATGAGCCCGATAGAGATGGTCAGCGTCCTAGCGGAGACGTCTACGAAGCGCCATCAAATCACATACTGGAGCTTGGTCAACCGCATGGGAAGGGCTTTGAGCAATTGGGAGGTGAGCTGGAAGATAAGCCTGCGGTTGTGCCTGAGGTCTTGCCTTTGAGATATGAGATGGAAGCTAACACTGTCCATGAGCTTCATGATCAGCCGGTTAAAGCAGATGAACATGTGGTCAAGACGGAGGAGTGATGTGGCAATGTCACTTGTAGATATCCATGTAGTCAAAAATGGACGTGATCTTGAATATTGCAATAGTTTCATTACTAAATAGATCATAAACAGTACACACAACCCAACATACATGAGGAGCTCTTCCCCATGCTAAAACGCCCTAAACACCTATCACCCATCCATCAACCACCCCATCTCCTACGCACCAATAGCCTGAGGATTCCAGAACACGCTTTTCGGATCAACCTTGTGCTTCAGCGCCGCCAACCTATCATACACAGCATCGCCATAGTAAAGCTTATGCGCCGTCGCAGCATCATAACTAGGATCAACATAGTTCAAATACGCGCCAAACGACGTCTGCGGCTGCGCATCGATAATAGCACTATTAATGCCATTGATGAACTCCATGGAATCACCTCCATAGCCATAGTTCTGCAACACCCACAGACTATCCCTATCGCTGTAGGCAGCAAATTCAGTGTCTTTGCTGTTGATAGCAGAGCCAGGGCCGCCGTAGAGGTTGATGATGATGTAGTATTCTGTTCCGTCGGCTGTCTGTAAGTAATCGTACAGCGCATCCAGAGCGTTGGAAGTGAGACCGGTAGATTCAGGGACGGTGACGGACTTGGCGAAGAAGTCCTCGTGCTCGTCGTACCCGGTCAGCGGCTCTTTGATGCTGGTCTTGCCGGATACTTTGACCATGTAGTCGTACCAGGCCATGGACTGGACGGTGGCGCTGGGGTTGGGGAGACTGCGAAGCAGCTCGGGCTTGACTTGTGCGTTGAATTCCGAGACGCTGCCGAAGAAGGCGCCGCTGAGGCTGTAGCCGCCGTAGTTGTCGAGGTAGATGCCGAAGGAGACGCGGTTGTCGACGACGGAGGCGTTCTTGGCGACGTCCTGGATGTGCATGAAGGTGTTTGTCCACACGCTCTTGGAGTCGTGGATGCCGGTGAAGCCAAACTCGAAGTATGTGATGCTGGCGGGTGCCGCGTGAGTTTGAAGATAGAACTTTGTGACGACACCGAAGGACTCGGCTGCGCCCTTGATGGCCCAGAAGATGTCGGGGGACTCTGCGGATGAGGCTTTGATGAGGGATCCATCGGCGAGGACGACGTCGGCTCCGACAACTTGATCCATGGCTAATCCCCAGTGGCGAGAAGTGTGGCCGTAGCCTCCGTGCGTGTAGTGGCCTCCGATACCGACACCAGGGCAGGTACCCTGGGCTACGGCAGCATTGCCTTGAGTGTAGATACCGTCACCTAGATTGCCCAGGCGAACACCTCCTCCAACTGTCGCAATACCAGAGCTCTTGTCGAGTTGGATGGTCTGGAAAGACTGGAGGTTGATCTGCATAGCGCCGTCCTTACCACCGGAGCTGAAGCTTGCGTAAGAGTGACCACCCGACTTGGCCTGAACCTTGAGACCAGCTTGGGAAGCGCATACTACTGCATCTTGAACGTGCTGGTTCGTGGTTGGGAGAACAATGACGGCCGGCTTGAAAGGTACGCGCAAGTTGTAGGGTTCCGAAAGTTCAGAGTACTCAGCATCCGAGGTCATCTTGTACGGCACATCCTTTCCGTTCAAGCATTGGAGAGCAGATCCAGACGGGGTTGACGATGGTGCAGCTGAAGAAGACTTGCTGGTAGTAGATCCCGATCCGGTGTTGCTGCCACAGTTTCCGAAGCCCGACTGGCATCCAGTTCCACACTGCTAAAATCAGTATATAGTCATTCAAAGCGTAGGCGGGTACTCACGTATGCAGATGTTGAACCGCACCATCCACTCGCGCTGCAGCAGTTGCCTTCAGCAAAACCCAGACATGTGTAACCCTTTGTGCCACCACATGTCGCATCTGGTGAGACCTTCTTAGTCGGTGTTGACGCCGGCGGTGGGGCCTGTGTCAACGAAGTCTTGACCGTTACTGGAGTTGCTTTTGACGTAGTGCTACCAGTGCATGTGCCGAAAGCTGAGTTGCAGCCAGCACCGCAATGATCCGCGGATTTTCCGCACCATCCGTACTGAGAGCAGCAGTCGCCGTACGAAGAACCCTTGCAAGTGAAGCCTTTTGTTCCTCCGCAGCTTCCGTCAGTGGAAACAGCTCTCTTGTTCAGCGGCGCAGCTGGCGAGGCGGATGCCAAACCAATGGATAGCAGACCTGCCGTAAGAGAAACGAGGAACTTCATGGCGACGTTGAAGATAGTAATCCGAGTTCAGTCGTCAAAGTTGACCAGGAAAGAGCGTTTGTAGTATACCCCAAACCACCGGAAGAAGAAGGACCAAACGAACGGACCGACAGCGTAAGCTTACCCTAATAAACGAGCGTGGAAAAGCAGAGACCAAGACCAAGACCAAGGCCTGCAGAGTAAGTACAGTGAGGCCTATACACAAGGGCAAATTGGCCCTCTTAAGACCACAACCAATACGAGGACATTTGCCTCCTTCGCTGCACATCCTCCCGTACCTGCAGCAGCCGCACGGCCTTAACACGACCTTCCATTGAATGATTGCTCCACTCAACACGAACGAAAACTCATCTTCGTCCTAAGATCCACTACAGCACAGCGTATCCTGGTGTCGATCTTAGGACACCGTGTGCCCGGTCGGTCCTAATACGAGCTTACTACGCAGAGGCCTAAACGGTGGGCGCTCGTGACGAAAAGCAATTTCGCCGCTCAACGGGTCCTTGGATTTCGTACGAGAGACGTGTGCGGCGTAGAGTTGCATCGCGAAAACCTGCAACGATGGGAAACCTAATCGAGCACGCAGTAAAGGAAAAGACGGTCTCCTCGGTCGCGTTGGAAGGGGTATCCCATCTCCAAAAGCTCCGGTCAGACCGCATAAGGAAATGACGTCTGTGTCCCCCCGTCACGTCACCCTCGCGCATCTCCATCCCTCGCCCCCAAAACACATACTAATCCCAGGCCATCAACACGAACCGTATTTCCGGCAACACCTTGCGATTAGGCCTTCCAAGGCATGACATTCGTGTTATTGCGGTGGGGTAGCAGTAAGCTCTTTGTGGGTTGCCGTTGCGGCCCTAACGGCTGGAAGCGACGCTGGGCGGCCCTGCGCGCATGCTATTTTTGGCAGTAAGAGATCTGAGTAAGGGAGATGCGGCATGCGAGGAATACGGGATGCTGCATGGCTTTGACAACATTGCGATGGGGTGGAAGGGGCTTGGCGATGCGTTTGGGGGTTGGCTTTGGTGTTAGAGAGCGGACTTTGGGTGATGGGGTTGTGCATGCTGTAGTAGATGGCAAGACGATGAGAGGCCTGCTGATTTGCAGTGTCTGAACTTTTCAAATAGAGAATTGAGTTTGGTAAGCTTCCATTCAGATCTGTACCCTTCATTCAGAATGCAGACGGAACCAGATAAGTAATCTCTCACGCACGACCTTTCCCACCCACACAACATCGCCGTCGGGTACCGCCTGCTCATCTTCAAAACATTCGTAGAATACTTCCCGCAGACGAGATATTGGGATTACGGATTTGAAGGCGATGTAGCGGGGTTAGCGGCGGCGGCTGGCGATGTCGAGCTGGTAACATATCGTCTGGAGGAGCTGAGGCAGGTGGCTGATGAGGGGAGGTGGGTTGGCATCCCGATTCTGAATCTTATAGAGAGGGGGCCTTGTAGGGTGCCAGAGAGGAAAGATGAGGTCGTTAGGTCGTTAAAGGCGCATGGAGCGATGGCGAAGGGGACGTTTGACAAGGTGGAGAGAGAGGAGGATGTGGAGGGGGGAGAAGGGCGTGAAGAGGGAAGAGAGGGTGAGATTATGGAGTCGGATCGCGAACTTGTTCACGCGCAAGAAGAAGACTAAACAGTAGAAGAGTCAGGAGAGGAGTCTCATTGCCGCGGAAAGTCAGAACTATTTTGCTCCTTCGAAGAATAAGTAATCCATGCATCCCCGTGTATACTACTAGAACCACCACACATCCAGCACTACCTGAACCCTCGCCCCGTCACAACAGAGCCCACATCATTCTCAGCATCCCACCCATTCAGAAACTTCTGTGTCGTCCACATATACCGCTGCCTCGCCATTTCCGCCCCGGTCTCTGTCGTCATCCGCTCGACGTACTGCCCGCCATGCATATGCCGCAGACAGCTGACATCAAAACCAACCCCAGGCTCCCTGTATCCTTCATTCATACCATGGAAATAGAAATATCGAGCCACGCCCACAGCGCCCAGTCGTTGGAGGTGATATGCATCACGTAAGATGCGGTGGATGGGCTGCTCGTGAGAGAAGTTGGTAACGGTGAACCCTTGCTCACCAAGCTGAATAGCACCGGAGAGGCGGGCAGCGAGACAAGATGCCTGCCAAATGATGTTGGGCGGGCATCCCGCTGCCCTCAAGAACTCGCGTACGACTTGCCATTGATTCCGCTTCTCGTCTGAGGAGAGATACCATGCGTCACTCATGTCGTGGGTGATGTCGTGCGTCATGCATAATACCCACAGGAGTGTGGAATCAATGTCCCGAGCCCATTGATGCGTCCTCTGTTCTTTCCGCAGAATCCACTCGGCGTCGGCGACGACACGCAGGGTGTGTTGGTAGTCGTGCAAAACGGCACGCGGGGTGCGGTCGGGATGTGACAGGTAGACTCTGTTCCTCTGGGTACGGACGGCGACGTTGAGGGCCGTGAACCATGCGAAGTCTGCGTCTTTGATTCCGAGGCACTTCGCGCTGAAGAACGGAAGTGGCTTGCGGAACGGAAGTGTCTTGGTGAACGGGTTGAATGCGAAACCTTCAAGTGCTTTGTTGGATGTGCTGAAGTTGCGATACCGAGGGTCTCCACCGTGGGCGTCGATGTTGACTTTCGCGCCAAGCCTTGTCAGTCGCGCATTGGAAGCGCTTGAGAACTTTCGGATCGTTGCGACACCGGCGAAGCGGCGGGACGCAACAGTGCTGAGCGACCTCATGTCGAGATATGAATTGAAGAAGCTGGTGTCGAAGATGTCGAGTCAAGGCCCGAGGTAGTCGTAACTCGTATTCAAAGGATGAAGCTGAACCAGAGGAAGGTTATGTGCGACAATAAGAAAGACGAAATCAAGCCGAAGAAGTAGTCGAGAAAGCGTCGAGGCCCTTGCGCTACTCCTTTCGCAGAATTTTCCATTGATTCGAAGGTGAAAGGCTGTCGCTGTCATTGGGACTGTTTTTCACTTCGCTGTTCGCTTCGCCGCCCTGAGCATGATGACAGCTCCATCCACCATCCCGTCATATACATGAAATTTCGCGCAGACCGCAAATATTGCCAGTCCGCAGCGGACATGCGTTCACGGTACGCTTGTGGCCTATCTCTCCCCTCCTCCGGTCGCAAGCGATGCTGTTATGAAGGCCTACGGCTATCACGTGTAGTCTGATCGCGACATATCTAGGCCGACTCGACGGCTGGCCATGTAGAGCGTGCTTGGATCTTTCCCTCTCCATACCAATATGCTTGCCATCATTAGGACTCGCAGCATGGCGACATGCTCTTCGCGAAGTGTGTAAAGAAGTCGTAGACCGTGGGGATCATCAACCACCCCGCGTCTTGGTCGTATCATCGGCTTCTACGTTCCTCTCCAAACCATGGGGCTTTCCCACATCTTCTACTCCATCCGGGATCTCCGCATCGCCTTCTTCAAGAGCACCATCGCCTTCCTCACCCTCCCCCTCTTCACCCTCTTTACCCTCCGCCAACGCCCTATACTTCCGCCTAGCCTTCTTCCCACTACTAGCCTTCTTCTTCGCCTTCTCCCTCGCCTTGACCTTCGTCCGCGCCCCCTCCCCCAACTCCATCTCCTCAATCCTTTCCTGCAGAATCCGCCTCGCCATCTTACGATTTATCTCTCTCGACCGCGTATCCTGGTACTTGACTACGATACCAGTGGGAATGTGTTTGAGCTGGACGGCGGAGGAGGTTTTGTTGATCTTTTGCCCACCCGGGCCGGAGCCTTTGAGGAAGTTCTCGATTAGATCCGCGTCGAGGAGGGGGGTGCGGGGCGGGAGGGATTTGCCATTGTTGAGGGATGGAGAGGTGGAGAGGGAAGCGGTTTGGAGGCGTGGGATATTGGGGCGCAGGCGGAGGCGGAGGAGGGAGGGGAGGAAGCGCATCGTTGAGTGTGTGTTAGAGAGGATAGTACGGCGGAAGCATCGCGATAGCATTAGTACTACTGGTACTGTATGGAAACTTCTCGCACTTGTGGTCGTCGATGATGCTATTGAGCGAATGCGCTAGATTACTCGGGAGCGATCGCAATCAGCTAATCGACCACCCCTGCTCCGAATCTCGTCCCTGAACCCTTCATCTCCCCCGTCATCTACCGCTCCTAACATTTGCGCCTTTATACGCCCTTTTCGCACGCGCAAACACGACGACATATACCGAAAGGTTCTATGATTGACACGCCGACGCTATCCGCCATCCTCCTCCTAGCCAGCGCATCCACGCTCCTCGTCGCCGCAATGCTGTACCCATCCGCCCTCCTCCGCTGGTTCCAGCGCAAGCGCTATCAATATGAAGTCACCTTCTCGCTGTACATGTTGACGTCGACTGAGAAGTTCATTTTCAGTATGTCCTAAATATCCTGTTTTACCGCATCACATCGCATTCTCAACTCAATTCTTGGAGATGAGCCACCGCCCCTTTGCACGTCGCTCTCCTCCCACACCGACCTTTGGTACTACTTTAGGATAATTGCTAACGACATGGGTTTTTGCAGACTCCGTACTCTTCCTCCTCCTCTCCCTCCTCATAATCGCCGCGTCGCTGTACCTCCCCGAGCACCTGACTATCATCGCGAACCGCATGTTCTACTACCTATCGGGCAACCACGATTCGCTTTCGAGTAACTCAGTACCTAAAACCGGGGGTATCGATACAGGGGTCACGCCGAATGGGCCGCTGGGTGCGGGTGCGGGTGCTATGAACAATGGGCGGGGGATGATGGAGTTATAGGGATACGCACGAAATGGATTAGAAAGGATATCCTGGAGATGATGGATCTGGTGAGGGGCGTCGAAGCTCTGCTTTGACTGGATGCCCTGGGAACATGGTCGCCTATTGGAGGGCATGAAGTCTTCGGCTTGTTGCGCCCCGACGGAGTCAGGCTTCTACCGCCCACTATGAGACGGCAGTACAGACTCCAAGCGCACAAAAATCCCGAACACATGCATAAGGCAAGGCGCAGGAAGGAGTTCCATTCGCCAATTCAGGCATACCTACATACCTATTCCCTCACGACTATAGACGTACAATAACCTCAGTAATGTTAATACCAAGCCACCACATTTTCCCTCACGCCTCCCTCTACGCCCCGCAGACGCATCGCACGTATCTCAACCACTTCATCCAAGAGCATGCACACAGCACTTCACACCCAGCAAACACATCTCGACCCTAGCCAGCACCTCACGTGAACGTCGCAGCATGCGCTGTGACATACTTCGTATATGCATCATGCATGTCTGCCAGCATATGTCACATTCCAACTGCATGATACATGGGCGGTTATGCTCGACGCCGAGATCGGACGACTTGTCTGTACATGCGTACATGCTCTGCGATGTGATGTGACGTGACGTGACGTGGCTCAAGTACCGCAGTGGTAGACTCCGGACACTTTGGCATTGAGTTAGTCATAAGGAGTTATACACAGAATCTAAAGCTCTACTCCCTATTAGAGCACCACCAAGGCTCATGATCCATACCCATTTCCATATCCGAAACCAATCCCTCAGCCCCCAGACTCTCCAACCAAGCATTCATACACTCCCTCAACTTGATCTTCATCTCCGCTTCATCGCCCACACCAGCTACCTCCGGCGGTGTGTCTCCCAGGCCATCATCAGCTCTATTGAGGAACGCAGGCCAAAAGTATTCGTTCGCTCCCGCAACAGCACGATATAGCCTTCTGACCTGGTTTTCCACCTCTTGAATAAGCGGTATCCATTCTTCTTTCTCGCGGCTGTCGATGGAGGATAGGATGATGGTGCTTTTGCTATCTTTCACCTCGGTGGAGGTTTTACCGTGTTTTTGGAATTTCATCTCGTAGACCATGCGGAGTTTGACTAGTAAAATGGCGAGGAGGAACGTGAACGACTCGGATGCAGGAGCCGTGGATCCGGGTTCTCTGAGTCGCTCGAAGACTTCAGCCGATTTGAAGGCGTCTTCGCCAGCGAGAGGTAGGTCTTTAGATGTACAGTCGTGTTCTTCGGAGGTCCCTTTGGTAACCCACCATTTGCAGAAGTCGTAACAGTCTTGGTCGCGTTTTAGGCGGAGGAGGAGCCAGGGTACTAGACAACGCATGTGTAGATGATCCTTGGAATCTAGCCGCAGAAGAGCAAAGACTTCGTCTAACGCTTGCTGAACCGCTGCTGTAGTATTTACACTATAAAGCTCATACAGCAGATCCCTCCTCCGGTACATATACTCCCTCGTCGCTTCATACTCCCAAAACCTGCCACCCGCAGTCCTAAACGGGTCTTTAGGCGTACCCGCATCTCTCGAACCCCGTTTCAGCGCAACTTCGGAATCAGCGATGAGGCCGTGAAGTTTTTGGATTCTGTCGCAGAGTTTCTGGTGGCCTGCCTTGTCGAGGGCTTGATGATCGGAGCTGCAGTAAAACATAGCATTGCAGTCGCTGCATAGGATGAGATTCTCCTTTTTGAAACAGTTTCTGCATCGTCCCATGAGACCGTAGGATTTGTTGTAGGGCAATGGCGCATAGTGTTCGATCACGTGGTGCGTACGCGGCGGCGCGGGATCGGGGTTGGACGCTTTGCGTTTGCGTGGTTTTGGAGATGCGTTGTGTTCGTCCATTTGGGCTCGTTCTCAAAGGTAATTGATCCAAGTATCGCGAGTGTTGAAGTGCTGATCCGGATGAGATGCGTTGAGATGAAAGACGGTGAGTGGGCCCAGGTGGCGTTGCTAAAATAATGGCGGTCGGTGGAGAAAAACGAAGTCGCATGCGCGACAACAATTGACCGAAATAAGCAGAACCACGACTAGAGGAGGTTCAGAATATGCTTGGATTATGTTGAGAATTTTATAGGCGCTGCGCGTGTTGTGGTGTTCTGAGTCTTGAAATTGAGGCTCCATGAACATCAGACCGAACACTAGGCTAATACTTACAACTCGGTTGACCTCTTGGGTTTATGAAATTGGTGTATATTAGGTCGTACCCTTCAAATTGATAACGGTAGCGAACATCAGATCCCTAATCCCCCCCAAGCCCCTCTCAGTCAGCCACTGCAGCACCATAACCTTATACCCGTTTGCACCCTCCCAATCCACGTCCACGCCACCCTTACTCTTGAGTACCTCCAGACTCTTCTCCGTAACAGGCCCGTCGTGATACCGAGTAACATTCCGCTCACCCGCTTTCCCAACCTCCCTCTTCTCGACTGCGCGCCACGCCGCCGCAGACAACGAGGCCAACCACGCATTATACGACAATGTAAACGCAGCCCCAATAGTGTGTCCACGATCAACTCTCCGTAGATACTCGTTCAGTGTACCCCTCAGTATCGTATCGCAATACAACCCCTTGCTCTTCTGATCTTGAACGAGAAGGCCACGAGAGACCCACACCAAATTGTACATGTCGCGCAGACACCAATTGAATGCATCGGTAACTTCTGCGGGGTAGTATGTTTTGACCGGCTTGGGATGCGCATCGAAAGCTAGCTTGTAGGAGCCGATGATGCCGCAGATGCGGGAAAGTGTTGTTGGGGAAGTGTCCTGGGAGAGTAGGTAGACGAGATGCATTGGCGGGAGATGGATGGGGATGATGTGTGGTTTCGAGGAGGTGCTGAGGAGTTCGTAGAACGAGAGGATCGATGATGTGAGGGTGGTGCTGGAACCTGGGGGGATGGAGACGAGAGCGGAAGTGAATAGGGTTGCCACATGTTCGACTAGGTCGCTCAGTACTTCCTGTCTGATTTCCCTTTGTTCGGCAGCTCCAGATGCTGTTTGAATTATTTGGTGCTGCAGTAGAGCCGTGTAGAAGTCGACGAGCTTTGTGTACGCAGTAAGGCCATGAGCTGCTAGGGCTCGTTCGACAGAAGATAGATAGGTCGTATGGGCGTCTTCGAACACTTCGATCGGAACATAGGAGACGAGTGTTAATAAAGAGTCAAGGTCTTGCTGACCGTCCCATATCGGTAGGTACGCGCGAAGGAACGCCAATACTGTAGGATGCAGTGACTTTGATCAATCAGCCGGCTGCACGTGAAACATGCCAACACACTTACCTTCATGTACTGAGCGTACCCCAGAAGTCCATCGAGAATCTCAGATAGGTACTGCCCATTCCCAGTGCCCTGCTGGTACTCCTCGAACTGCTCTTCTAGGCACGTGGCAAGCCAATTCCCTAATCGACCGGCTGTGATTGGTGATGGCTTGAGGTCAACGTACTTCTGTAGCAACGGGTCCACGAGGAGCGCTATCAGCTGGCCTGGTGGCTCTATTCTATCGAGCTTTTCCACGAAATCGTCAACACTATCGATGCCCTCAAGGGTTGCTGAGCTCTGTCACACACTGTTAGCACCTCCAAGACGTTAAACAGAGATGTTCGCCCACCTCAGTCGCATAGTAGGTATGCACGTCCGGGATCGCCGATCCTTTGCTGCCCTTGAGTCTTCTTCGTAGCACCTTGAAACCGTTCTGCCCGTCTACACTCGAGTCGTCTTCCGCCGCACTGGCCTCTTGAATGGCAACGATCTTGGCTTGCCATTCGGCATCAGGTCGCTATCGAGTTAGCTTGCATCCGGCAGTGCCACAAGGAGATGCGGGGAAGTAGCGTGGGGGATCTGAGGTTGCATTTGTGGTGGTACGAGAGACGGATACTCACCGGAGCGAACGACTTCCGGCTTGTGGAAGTGCTCCCGAGTATTATATCGGGATAGTAATCCTTGTAGACACGGAGGAGGCCTTGGAGCGCAGGCTCGTTGCCGAGGCCGCGAGACAGCTCTAGTCTGGAGTAAGATCAGTTATCGGTATCTACATCGTATTGATGCTGAAAGCCCTGTACATACAACTGTTGAATCCGGAATGGTTTAACGTGTTTCCTGCGGGTGATCAAGGACAGCAGATGGCACAAAGATGTCCTGCTAAATTTAGCACTTCTGTTCTTGGTGACAGGCCGAAGTAACACACCTGATACTGATCATGTCGAGCATGCCAAACAGCACACCATATAGTCGGGACAAGACGCTCGAATCCTCCACGACCTCATGGATTGCGATAAGCCATTTCACAAGACTGTCTTGTGTACCGGGCGAAGGCTTGCCCTTGCCCTGCCCAAGCGCACCAACGATGGTAATAACAACATCGCCTGGAACCTTTTGAGACGGGTACAAGTTCTTGATCAACGTCGTGATGGTGGTTTGGTCTAACAGGGTCTTCACCGACGCGAGCTGCACTATGTCGCGCAGAGCATCCTGGTCAAGGCCATCTTCCGAGGCGTAACGGCAGATGACATCGACTATGCTGGAGACCTTGACGGTCCGTTGCTTCGCTGTTGTTCTAGATGCTGCAGGCCGGTGTAAGCACTGATCCTGACCGGGCTCGTTGCCGCATATCGACACCTACCTTGATGCAGTAAGTTTAGCGTCTCCTGCAGCGTGGGCCGCTCTTCTGCTGAGTCCATCAGTAGCTGGCTTGGAGCGAAGTCGATGTGGGTTACCGGCGACCGATGGCATCACACTGCCAATGCAACGTGCATACAGCAAGACAGTTGTCAGCTGTTGTTGTATGAGCCGCTGATGATGCAGACGCGTCGCGGTGGTGGTTGTTGACAGCCTGATCGCGCCTTCCCCGTTTCGATGGGCTACGAACAAGCGAGCAGCCCCGCTAACACATCGCGGTCGACACACCCCTTCCACAGTTCACTCTCCTCGCACCGGATTGCTTCAGCGATGCCATCAATATATCACCAGCCTCGAAATCATCGCCAATATTCATGTGTGGGCACACAGCATCGCGGCTGCCGGTCTGGCCATCCGCGGCTCGTTCACGCTACTCGTGCTTGATTCAATCAATCGTGCAGATGTCACCCGCATGGCCGTGTCATCACTGGAGCATGCATCGCAGCTCTCGCCATCGCCACATCGAGGTCAACCCTTTGTGTTACACAGCAAGCATCGAAATGTAATGATTGCGGCTTGCGCAACTGCTACTGGCCCGCCATGGGTGGTAGCCTTGCGGGTCAGCCATCAACTCAAGCACGCCTCCTGCAACCTTGACTCGAATTGTACTGACCCCCGCGCGTTGTACGCCTTGCCCGCGATGACAAGCACGCGTCGGGTATCGACCTTCATTATCAACCTGGCTGTTGGTCCTTGCTTTGGAATGAGTGGCCGGCTTTCCTTGGATCATCATTCTCTATCAGGACGGCCGACAGGCCTCTAGGACTGCCCTTCATCTACAGTAGGCTGACACGCGCATCCCAAGGCCTACAAGGTGATCAATGTGGAGCCTTGGATCTGCGATTGGATGTGGCGTCATCTATTCTCGATACACGATCCTGCTGCTACCCGATGCAACCGTCGCCGTGCACTTATACGCCCGTTGTGCTCCTTACTCACATGCGCGAGCACGCTACGGCAACGCTTCTGTCGTGTCAGTCATGGCTACGAACGGGAAAACGTCATCCAATCGGTAAGATCTCCGCACACTACGGCAGTGGATGCACTTCTTTATCTGCACCGGAGAGTGCCTGGCCGCGGTCATGTACTACTTTCTTCGTTCTTTATCTGGTACCACCCCAAGTATTACTATCTATCGTATTGACATACATCTTCAGGAGCTTAATTCTAATCGAACAGGGTGGAAGGAACTTCAGCTACTATTGACAAGGTCACGGTCCACTCGGCGATCCACAAGCACTCGACATCAGCACCTCATTTGACGATTCGTGGGGTGACTACTGGCAACCTTGCATAGCTGCTTTTTGTACTCCTGAGTCCCATAGCCGGGACCGCCTACCTTGCCATTCAGCATAACATCTTACGCCCGCTGCCGGCTGGCTTCGGCTTGCAACGTCAACCGGCACAGTGTTCTGACGGTGTCTCTTCCCTGCAAAAGCAAGAGTCAATTCGCTATGGGGACTTGAGTTTGGGCGATCGAAATATAAGAGCCGCGCTTTTGCAAACGATGCCCAAAGTCATCTCAAATCTTCCTCCCGACTGGCTCACCTAAGACCTTTTGGTGCTTTTCTACCGTCACCATAGTAACATCCGCAGCTGCGTAGTGATGGGTGAACGAAAGAGCCAACCGTCCTCAAAGAGCAACACACATCGACCCAAGATGACTTCAGCATCTAGCAGGTCGACCGCGACGCAGAATTCATCTTCCGGAACCGCCAAGATTGTACGATGTCCAACACAGACTCTTGAACGATTGCGGCGCCTGAACGAAGCAGAGATCATCACCTTGTTCACCCCCTTCGTACCTCATCCGCCATCGACGACACTCGCGAAAGACATGGATCCTTTCGAGCCTCTCGGTCGCGCTCTACCAAGACAAGTACGACACGTCCCATACCGTCTCGACTCTGGCATGACAGAGATGCACGCCGATTTCCTACCAACCAGTGGAGCAGTCATCATCGTCATATGCGCCAAGTCGAACGTCGTCAGTAATCATGCTCAGGCTTTTGAACGGCAATTAAAATTCGCACGAAGTATCTCGAAAAAGATACCGAAAAGCGATACTATACCAGGACTTCCAATGATCCTCATTCTCATCGACGATGGCGCTATGGGCCAGTCCTATGTTAACGCGGCATACGACTTTCCAGCACTTGTCACTGTCAACGACTACACGGCCGCAGCACTCGTGAATGCGGTACACGTTCTGTTTGGCAACTGATAAGCCTATTGTCCCAGTACAACATCATCTGACAGTTTCTCTTTCCAGTACAGGAAACGAATGGGGTTGTGAACGCTCGGAAGCGCGGTTCGAACGAGACAGTCGATCTACCTTCCTGCTCACTACATTTACTTCCACAACACGACATCATTATGACGATGGATCCCATGCAGCCCCAAGCCTGCAACATACATCACTCATTCCTATTTATCACCGTTTCCATACATTATACACCATGTATATGTAGCATTCCCGGTGGCACGACCTCGCTTCAACTATTCCATCATCATCTGTGGATATGTCCTGTCTGTTCGGAGGCATTTCTTCTGGTATATCTACTCCGCAATATATCAATACATCGATTCTCCCTCTCAATTATCGTCGACTTCAGGGTGACAAAAGCTCATTCCGCGAACGCGCCCAAAAACCAAGACTATACACCAACACGGATGGTAGCAGAGACCAAGACATGGCATGGAGACTACATCGCCCCGACTTGACTCTTACAAGCTAAGAATAACGTACATATATTGTATAGCTAATCAGTCAGTAGTGGTCTAGGGTCAAGATTTGATGTTCGTGGTGCTTCGGCGCCAAATCACACAACACCACGGCGCACGGTGCACCGCAACATGTTGCCAACATATTGTGAATACGTTGGAATCGATCCAGAACCAATCCAAATTGTTCGCCGAAAATCAAACTTCCAGCTCCATAAATTTGGGCTTGAATGTAGTCTCGCATATATGCATCATGCAGCAGTGTTCATGCTCGCTATGCTGTCTGCCTCGATCTTATCCTCGACTTATCCTCAACCCTATCCTCAACCTTATCCTCAACCTTATCCTCAACCTTATTCTCAACCTTGCCAAGACTTGATCAGAGGTAGGCTGCAGAGACGTCTGAAGCCTTCATCGTCCACAACATCACCCTCAGAGTCTGTCCTGTCGACTCTCATCCAAAAACAGTAATCGATATGAAGTTGGGTTAGCGCCGGTAAAGACTCAGTAAAGACTGAGTTTTTACTGAGACTTTACTGAGTAATTACTCAGTCTGTACCAGCGCTAACCAAAACCTCTTGCCCCCCATGCCCAATAGACAATCCACGAGGCAGTGAACCCGCGGCATTGCAGCATGTCAACACCACGCATCCAATCTGTAAACATTCTAATAGCTTTCCAAAAGCTTTCGAATTGCAATCTCATTTTCCCGGGCGACCTCGGCTGTCCTTCGCTTCGCAAATGAAGTTCTTGAAGCTCGGCTGTCCTTGAAACTACCTCCGATGTGTTGAGCTGTCCTTCGATCTGAGCTCGGCTGTCCTCCGCAGTTAGCTCGGCTGTCCTCGAAACTACCGCCGAGCGATGTTGAGCTGTCCCTCGCTTGATGCTCAGCTGTCCCTCGCTTCGCATGCAAGTGTGGTTTTGTTCGGCTGACCTTCAAAAATCCCCGACTTCGTGCTCACCGTCTTTCATCTCATTCCATCGCCTCTCATCTCAACCCAACCCATCACAACCTCAACGCGCCGCATCTCGTCGTCATCACAATATGGACGATGAATATGAGCAGCAGCGCCAGCAATTGCGCGAATTGGGCCTCCTGGAATATATTGAGCAGCGCGAGAAAGAAGGTAAGCCCCATCTCCCCAGTTCCACATCTCCGATACTGACAATCTCGTCCCCAAGACCGAGCCGCAATGGACGAATACAACGCCGCCCGCAACACCGATCGAACAGCAGGCAAGCGGCCTGCGCCCGACACCGATCGAACAGCCGGCAATAGCCCTGCACCCGACACCGATGCTCAATCGTCCCATCCCGGATTCAATCCAAACAACTACGGCATGATAATGCCGTTCGACGTATCCGAAAACCTCATCACAGGCTGCAACATCTGCCCCCAGCAAACCGGTCTCAGCCGCTGCAGCGCCTGCAAAGTAGTCCACTACTGCAGCCCTGAGCACCAACGCGCCGACCGCCCCGCCCACAAGGTGTGGTGCAAATCCATCAAAAAGATCACGTTCGTCCTCGACAAAGACGAAGCCGCCCTCCGAGCCCACAAGGGCGATATGGATACACCACCCAACGCCTTCGAAACCGCCGTCGGCGACTTCTGGCGTTACAGCGGAACGAGGAATTACATGAGATCCCGGAACGAGCTCTTGAGAGAACTGCCTAGGTTGAATACCAAAGCGGCGGTGGAAGCTGCACTGGAACACGCGCTTGGTCTGATGCGGTTGAATCTGCAGGATCCGATGTGTGTGAGGAGTATCACGCCGGCGTTTTTCTTGCGCCTGGGACGGGATCAGGAGGCCTATGATTTCTGTAAGTGGTGGGTTACTAAGGGGAGTAGTTTGAGTTGTGACTGGAAGAATGTTAGGCAGCTGCCGCATGAGATGAGTAGTGGTGGGGATGCGTGGGAGGGTGTGGAGGTGTTTGAACGGGTTAGGAACTTTGGGGATGGGAGTGGGGATAGCTTTACCGTACCCAGTTTCTCGGATCTGTCGCATCTTGTTGCGGTTACGCTGGTTAAGGTACGTATACTTCTCGACGTCCGGGTGCTTATCGATGGTATTCGGCCACAGGACTTTGGCGATGTGAGTAGCAGCAGCATTGTGTTGCGCGACACGGGAGAGGGAGACATTGGCCAGCCTGAGATTATACTCGAAAGAGTAAAGGATCAGGTCGTGCGGTTGTACGACGCGGTGCACAGAGCCAACAAGCACTTCTGGCCTCGAGTGGTAGAGCCCCGGGCCCATCTATTGATGAACCCCCTTAACATCGGTATGGGCGATGAGACGGAGATGCATTTGGTCTTGCCTGAATACTACTGTGCATGGAGTGAGACACCGGGCGCGATTGAGGTTATCGAGGATATATTGGAGGGTCGCGAGATTTCCTTTTCACGCTCGGTTGGAAGAGGACTTTTTAAGAAATAGTTGGTGCAAGGAAGGAGCTGTATGAGAGTACACAACGCGGACGGACGACAGGGTCGTCGCACGGATACGTTCATGGAGGTGGAGAGCTTGGTTTTGTTTGAAGGAAGTTGTTGGAGATGAATGATGATGCTGAGAGATGGGTGAGTGCGTGGAGACCCCGCGAGTTTGAAGTTGAGCGTGCTGAAGCATTGGCCGAGATAGATGGTCTTACTCGATGAAGATGCTTGAGTTCCTAGGTAGTTGATCCTGGAGATATTTTGGAGATATGCGAACGTTATCGGCCTAAAAGACGCCACTTGGGATAGATACAATTCGTGTCGCATCCCACAAATTGATTATTAAGCTAGACGTAAACATTGCTCTTGAGACTGACTGGATGTTAGGTTTCAATAGCATGTATGCAACACATGCTGTAGTCACCACGTTAACCTAAGGGAAAAGCTGAACAGGTATGCGCCTACATTAACTTAGAAACGTGCAAAGTAGGTATTTCAACTTCGATGTAGGCTCTAGGCCTCTCCAGGTTTTTTCTTGTTGAAGGTGGCACGGATGCGTCGAGGACCCATAGCGACCAGCGCCCCAATAAGGCGGCTTATAGAGACGAACGTCAACAACTCAGGCATACCAGGGCAACATCATAACAACTGCGAAGGTGCGCCGCAAGAATCACCGAGCGTTGGGGTTGGGACGAGGCAGGGCCAGACTTGGGCCTCGGACACTAATGTCGGGACGTGAAGATGCGTGGGTCTTCCTAGCGGGAATGACTCGCGGCGACGGATGTTGTTTTGTAGCTGTTGACGAGCAGCATCTCTATGCATTCCTGTGGATTATAGCGAAGTTGTGTAGAGTCGCATGAATTGAAGTACAGTGCGGACATATGTTTCAGTGAATATAACGCTGAGTCCTTCGTGTGAAGAATTCTGGGATGAAAGCGGAGCTGCAGCTATGACGCTCGCGGGACGCGACACACGTGCGCCCAAAGTTCCTGGGCATTGGCTGCGCGCAGCTCCCCACCAGCTAAACCCAGCTGCATTGCTTCACTCCCAATCCTCCATGCAGAGCTTTCCGGCGCCGGCAATTCTTCCATCCTAACTATTGCTACTGCGCGTCGCGACTGCTGGAGCTTCCACTTTCCCGCAATCAACTACACTCGCTCGCTAAGCCATGAAGTTCGGCACGACACTGCGCAAGAGCGTGTATGCGCCGTGGAAGGACAAGTACATCGACTACGACAAGCTCAAGAAGCTCCTCAAGGATAACGAGGATGACGATTCCTGGACCGCCGACGACGAGAGCGCGTTTGTTGACGAGCTGGCCAATGTGCAGTTGGAGAAGGTGCACAACTTCATCACGGACATCTCGCAGAAGCTGCGCGACCGCACGACGGCATGCGAGAAGAAGCTGGAGCCATTGGCCATAGGGATCCAGGCGGAGGGCAAGGAAGAGGCCAAGGACGACAAGGAGAAGAAGGAGAGCAACGGTGAGGGCTTGTTCGGCGACGCGTCGGGCGATGCATCCAAGAAACCCGAGCCCAGCCAGCAGGAGAGGGACAAGATCCTCAAGGAAGTCCTGCGCGAGCTGGACAACATCACCAAGGAGACCAAGGAGCTCGAGAGCTTCAGCCGCATCAACTTTACCGCCGTCATCAAGGCCACCAAGAAGCACGACAAGATCCGCGGCAGCTCCTACCGCCTGCGGCCCTTTATCGATGCGCGCATTGCCCGCCACCCGCTGCACACCGAGGATGCCTCGCCGCTGCTGTACAGGCTGTCTGCGCTGTACTCGTTCGTCCGACAGAGCCTCGAGGGCAAGTCCAAGGAGGCCTTGTCCTTTGGCGAGACCAGCACGGATGGCGAGGGCTTCACCTCGCACAAGTGTAGGCACACCATACATCATTGGCAAACATCAGCTAACACATGCAGTCTGGGTCCACATGGACAACCTCTTCGAAGTCAAGACCGTCATCCTCCGCCGTCTCCCTGTCCTCGTCTACAACCCCATGTCGTCCAAGGTCGCCGAGGGTACCCAGCGCGACCCTACCATCACGTCCATTTACTTTGACAAC